TGGACTTTAGAAACATCCTTCTTATCAACATTGCCCTTCCTCTTCTTTGGATTAGCGGTCATGAGGTAAGCCACATCAGGTTTGTCCAGCTTCAGACGCTCTTCTTCTTGTACGCACATAGCAATCAACTCATTCATCGACCACTTGACCTTCTGGGTGTTGTAGTTGACCTTGAAAGCTTCAAAAGATGCAGGAAGAGAAGTCATTATGAAGTGCACCAGAAAACCTTCACTGATCTCCATGTCTAATCCCTTGAGCTTACGGGCCATGTCGTTCATCATCATGATGTGCTCACGAATGCCGCTATTCCCGTCATATTTTGTAGTCACCATCTTCAAAATAAGAGTACTAGCATGTGCCTTAGAAGTTGCTTTGAATTGTTCCTCCACGGAAGCCAGATATATTTTAGCATTAGATGAATCTGGAATAGCTCCCCTGATGATTATGCTGATGGAATTTTTAATGAGCATAAGAGCCATTCTGTTGCACCTCTCCCATCTCTCATGTACTATTTTATCTTCAGCAGTACTTTTATCAGTGAGGGAAGGAGGGGCAGGCTCTCTCAGTGCATAATCAAAATCCAACATGCCAAGAGTTAGCATCAGTGAATCTTTCCATGAAGAGAAATTCGCACCGTTCAAGGTTTCAATTCCCATATTTGGGGCTGATAGTGGATTTAGATGAGAGAAATAAGACACATAACTAAAGAAGAACTTAAGGGGTAATGAACTAAGGCTGACGAAGAAAAGGACCATTATATAGTAATGAAGCTGTGATAAGAGTCTATTATAACACCAAAAATAATAGACTAAATTTAATTCTACTTAAACAAATGGCTTTCACTTTGGTTATGACCACTTATTTAAGTATTATGAATAATAAAATAATGATGTGCAATTTGAATGTAACACATCACCTTTGGGCAGAAGTGAAACATTTAAATTTTAATGCACATATGTATTTAGTTCGCAGTACACAATTATAACACATCATCTTTGGACAGAAGTGAAATATTATGTATTTAAGGCGAGTGTCATGCAAATATCTATTTAAGGATATGCACTAAATGACAATGCTTAATAAGACTTGAAATAAATTTTACAAATGTTACACATCACCTTTGGGCAGAAGTGTACTCTAAGGTATTATTCAAGTCAAGCAAAATAAATCAATTTAACTAATCATAAAATAAATTTTATTTAAGATTAGTCAAATGATTTATAATTTTAATGTTAATAATAAATTAACCGCAAAAGTTATAGCGGTTTGGGGCGGGGCTACGGAAAAATTTTGAGGACCCATTAAGATTAATTTAATTAGAAAATCAAAAGGCATATAAGGCAAGAGATTTTCCAACAAGTAAAAAAATTAACTTTTTAATGGTATTTTAGCATATCCCTTATTTAGTTTTGCTATTCTTGGTAAAATAAGTCAATAAAATAAGGAAACAGAATATATCATGCAAAAGTGAGATATGCCATATAATTTAAGGAAACACAATTATATTCCAAATCAAATACCAAAACAAGATGATTTCATCAAAATAAGGATGAAGAACATGAATAATTTATTTAGATTCAAAGTTACTGGAATCAAAATCATAAAAGAAAAATAATTTTTTTTTAAAATCGTATGGACTACAGTGTGGAACTCCATAATCAATTTACTAATAAATTGGTGTTTACTCATAATCGGAAAACTTAAGCCCTTAATTTAGAAAACTGATTACTTTTAGTGTTAAAACACGATCTTCCCCAAATTTGATGCTTGAAAACCTCTACATAGTTTTGTTAGGTTTAGGGAAAAAAGAAAAACTTTCCGATCCAATTATGCAGCGAAAGAAAATAAAGCCACAGGTGAATTATTGTGGAGACACCATTATAGATCCAAATCGGAAAAAACAATTCAAAAGGAATTTGCACACTGAATGATTTCCGATTACAATTCAGGGGAAAAAAAATTGATTTATCAACATAATGCTCTGATACCACATGTTGATCAATTCTTAAACATAAAATATAAATTAGGTATTTAATCATGTGTACCTGATAATCCTGTAAACGCAGTTAGGGATGAGACCATGATTCTCACACAGATCGAGTTCCCTTTTAGGGTGTATTGTTATGATGGCTAAGGCGAGGGCGAGACTCACGAGAATAGAGAGGCAGAGAAGAGGCGTAAGATTGGTGTGTCGATCTCTGCCTAATACCTCTATTTATATACACCCAAGGGGAAACCCTAATTAGGTCATAAGGGTAATTACGTCCATCGAATAATTACCAAATAAATACATAGGGTATTTATTAGGTCAATGATCAATTAATTGGATAAATGATAACTCAGGCCATATAATAAAAACGTGTCCAACATGTAGAAGATGGCGATGTGGATCGGGGAAGATGAAGAAGATGATATACTATGGAAGGAATGACGATGAAAGGTGAGTCAGGGAAGATGACGATGTGTGGTGGATGATTGAAGAAAAATGAAGATGAGGGTTTGCTGATAAGGTTCGTGGGTTGGGGTAAATAAGTGAATTCACCCCAAGAAAGTTACCAAATTAGGAAATGGAAGGATAATTTGTGGATGGAAGAAAAAGGAAAGTGAGAAAATAATTTATGGATGAAGGGAGTACGAAAGAAAGAAAGTTACCAAATTAGGAAATGGAAGGATAATTTGTGGATGGAAGAAAAAGGAAAGTGAGAAAATAATTTATGGATGGAAGGGATGGGTGTGATCCACACCTCTGGAAGGGTATTGATATACTCCATAATAACAAAGAGAAAAGCCAACATGACATTGAGTTTACAAGGAGTGGAGGTAATGGTGCGATCCACGTCTTATAACGTAAGCCTCACGCTCAACCATGATACAAACTAGTTACTTTTTGGTGTAAAGACATAATACTACTCGAGGTAGTAATTATGAGTTTTTATTTTTTTATTTCATTTTATAAAAATAAGCTACTAAACTATTTTGATTAATTTCATAATAGTAATTAGTTTTTCTCTCTCTATATATAGTATATCTTCTTATGGTAATCATGACAATGAATTTTTTTGAGAGTATCACGCCAATGAAATTAGTTGTTCACGTTTATTTTATGAATAAGTATACTATTTCCAAAGTGATACGGAGTATACTCATTTCTTTGTTGTCTTTTGTTTCACACTAGTGTGAAATATTCTTGGCGCAACAGTAATGTGAATTAAAAAAAATTATTTCCATCCTGGATATTCGGATATTCAACTGATCTCATCTAGAACTTTGCATTTCCGAATCTAAGATATCCAAAGATTTCTAGACCGAACGTAGAATTAATCTTGTTGATCCGAAAATTCTAGATATCCAAAAATTCTAGAATTAATCTTGCTGATCCGAATCACGGTTACTTCTCTTTTTTGGAATAATTAATGCGTAGGAATAATTAATAGCGATGATATAAAAAAAACTTTTTTCTTTTCGGATTTTAGTACAAACACACGTAAATAATCACGGGTGTATGGTAACTCTAGATAAAATTGATGATAGTTTTGCCCCTTCATGAAAAGAGTGAGAGCTATAAGAGTTTATTGAACCGTTGCCCATGATCGAGTGCCATAATCTCTTGATGTTAGCTTTCATTATCAAAAGGTTTGTTATAAATTTAGTTCGATCCAAGTTCAGTATATTTATTTAAAACAATTATAATTATATAAGCAATTAAGACTTGCATTTACAGGGAAATCAAATTCATGTGCAGATAAGATATTCGAATATCGATACTTTGAAGATGACCTCGAAGAAAACAAAGTTACTAGTTTAACCAAGTTTAGAGTTCAGTGCAACTTACAGAACACTAAGACAACCTCACATCCTTATATGATACTGTTTTTTGAAAGAACCACACTTCAAAAATTATCTTCAGACTTATTTCCGAATTTTCAATGCAAATTTATGCCCTTCAATGATATCAAGTTATTACTTTTGATAAACGACATTCTGTTGATTGGTTAGTAAATTATATAATATTTATATATAAAAATTTCATATGTCACGTATAGATTAAATAAATTAAATCTTATATCTATTTATTTTAATCACAGATGTCATTGGAAAAGTTGTTAGTCGTACAAAGATCACATGGTTAAGGGTGTTCATGAGAGGATGATGGAGGTTCTGTCGGAAGACCATAGGTATACATAAATAAAAATTTATCATATTTGATGTCAAATTTATATTCCCTCCGTTCTCAAAAACACTTCCTCTTTCATTTTTTTCACTTCCAACAAAACACTTCTCCTTTATATTAAAAAACCACTTTTACCCTTACTTTTTCATACCCTACCTATCACATCATACTTTTTCTCTAATAATCAATCCATCACATCTTACTTTTACCCATCACATCAGGGGCAAAATTGGAAGTCAACTATAATTTTACACTTTCTTAATTTGCCTTATTTTCAAAGTGGGAAGAGTTTTCCCAAACGGAGGGAGTATTATTTAATGCTTTCTACAATTATTCACTTTATTAAATCTTTCTTCAGGAGAAACTGCATAGATTGTACGTTGTGGGCTCATCATATTTAGTTACAACCACTTAGTTGATTTCCGTGACTATATTGCAAGTATCGGCCCAGAGTTGTAGAAGATGAACATGATGGCTATGTAGAAGTAACAATATTTATTGATATGTTGCTTCCATATTCAGAAGATCCAATAGCCACTTTAGTGAATTCTACTTATCTAGATTTCATAAAATAACCAATGATCCAAGCTATTTGCAGGACCGTGCAATTTTAGCTCCAACCTTGGATGTCGTTGATTCTATAAATGAATATATGACATTGATAAATCCCAATGAGGAATCACACACTTATCTTAGTTCTGACAAGGTTGTGAACTTGGACTCTAATTCAATTTTTTTTACTGATTTAAATACTCCCGAGTTCTTGAATAAGATCGTGCTTCTAGAGTACCAAGTCATGAGCTCATTTTGAAGGTTGACGCTCCAATTATGTTGCTAATAAACACTGATCATTCAATGTGTTTGTGTAATACTACTTGATGGATAATAACTCGGTTAGCTAATCAGTCAATACAAGGGAAGATATTTTCTAAAACACATCTGATGCAATAATACAATTGACGTTTTAAAGAAGACAATTTCCTATGATTACTTCATATGTAATTACAATTGATAAGAATCAAGGCCAATCACTAAAACACGTAGGAAACCAATATTTTGTCATGGACAATTATATGTTGCAGTTTCAAGAGTAACAAATCGTAATGGCTTGAAGATTCTTATTCACGACGTAGAGGATGTTTCTAAAAGATGTCGCACTAACGTAGTTTGTAAAGAAGTTTTTCGAAATTTGTAATTTATATGATATTCATGTTTTACAAAAAATAAAAAACATTATTTCTTCCTTTTTATAATGATACCAATACAAATTTATAATGTAACAATGCTTTTGTAATACAAATATTGAGCCTACAATGGTCGTTTGACCCACCATGTGAAAAAATCAGCCCAGTGATGATGCAATAGACGAAATCCTCAAAGATAGCCAATGTGAACAATTGGCCATTGCATCTACAATGGCTATCCATTCCAGTCAAATTGGTCTTCCAATATGTCATATATCTTATTTTAAAATGTCATTCAAGTTTCAAAGAAAACAAGTTTTATGATTATTTCATATGCAATGATGATTAATAAGAGTCAAAGCCAACATTCGAGAATAATACCAATAAACATTTATAACATCAATACGAGCCGTGCAATGAGTGTG